GGCTTTTTCCAGTGTTTTGCAAAAACTAACCTTGCGGCTGTTATAATATGAATCCCTCAGTATGTTTTTGCAAGGTCCATTGAGTCCAGCAAAATATTTAATAAAACTAATTCAAGTTTCATCGGAACTGGGCTTTCAAGAACCTCTTGTAAGAACAGCTTCACTTTGTTCTAGTATCTTTGTGCTTTTTAACAAATCCACCACATGTGATAGAATTATCCTTCCTTTTGTTTACACTTCCAACATAAATTTGATATTTGGGCATTCATTTTGGCTAATATAAAAGGTTCCCCTTGACAATTTTTGTCCAGTCGTGTCCGACCCTAAGGGGCGGCGCTCATCCCGCTCTTCAAGCCATAGAGCCAGCGTTTGTCCGAAGACAATCTTTCCGTGGTCACATGGCCAGTGTGATTTAGACACGGAACGCTGTCTAAATATATGGCTAATATACCTCCTGTAAAACATTTTGTAAATATTCTCTTTAAATGCAACAGATTTACAGTCATGGGCAAAAAAATGGCACACTTGCAATTCTGTCAGAAAATGCAACCCTTCTCTCGTAAAATTGTTGCAGTTGCAAATGTTTTCACACTCACGTGTTCATTTCTTTGGTTTGCATTGGAACAACACACACAAACACAAACAAAACCAGAGAGGAAAAGTTAAATTTGATACGATCGCACACAGAAACCCAAAATCTTTTGGCCATGACTGTAGTTAATTTTATATTTGTTTTCCATATTCATTCCCATTGCTCTAAATCTATATTGTGTCCAACATTCTGTGCCCACTTAATTATACATGATTTCATTACTTCCTCCTGTGTATCAAAGTCTAACAAAAGATTATACAATAGCTTGATATGTTTCCCCTCTGTCTCTAGAAAGATTCTGTCAAAGGGTGTATTTTCTAAATAGAAGATTTGCTGTTTATCTTTAGCAAATCCTGATGATAGCTGAGACCGAGCCCAGCAGTCCATTTCAGTTTCTTGATTCACTAATTCTTGTTGGGTATTGAGAGAGAGCCATCAGAGTTTGAGATTTCACTGTATTTTACTATTTTCTTATTTTCTCTCAGGTTTGGGGGGGCAAACACCTCAATTGGTGTCACCCAGTGTGGAATTTTCCTGTACATCTGGTTCTTTACTTTATTTCATGACCATAAAAGTGCTTTCCTCAGTGTATGGTTGTTGAACTGCTTAAAATCCTCTGTTCTACTGTACCACAGGAATGCGTGTCAACCCCATTTCAGATCACATCCTTCTAATTTCAATAGCCTTGTATTTCCCAACGTTATCCACTCTTTAATCCATACCAATGCAAATGCTCTATAATACAACAGCCAATCTGGAAGTCCCATTCCTCCTCTTGATTTCAGGTCTTGCAGAAATTTTAGCTCCGATTCTCATTTTTTCCCCTTGCCAAATGAATTTAGAGATATATTTTTCCAGGTCTTTAAACATTGTTTGTTTTAAAGTAATCGGGATTGTTTGAAAAAGAAATAACATTTTGGGCAAGATATTCATTTTAATTTTTGCTATTCTACCCATCGTTGACAGTTGTAAATTTGCCCATCTGGAAGGATCTTTCCTGTTTTCATCTATCAGTTTCAGCTAGTTGCCCTTCAGAAGGGTACTTAATATTTTACTTTTCTTCCCTCCTGAAAATTTGTGATTTGTAGTAGTTCATCTGTCTCCTGTTTTTGTACATTTTTGGTTAAGATTTTAGTTTTCTTGTGGTTTATTTTAGACCAGATGGCAGGAACATTTCTGATCACACTGGAAAGAATCACTTTGGAGGGAACAGTCTTCCTGAAAGTGACCCTTCTATCTGTCAGGAAATTCCTGGCCCCCAAAAGAGGTAGCCCTTCAGCTGAACCCAAAAGGTTGGGGTGCAGTATGATTCATGTACGCAATGTGTTCCCTGGGAAAATAGGCTCCACTGGATGACTCCACAAGCCGTGTTCTAGGCCTGGTTGTGGCATCATAACAAAAAATTCTGCAAGGGCCCTGTGCTGTGCATGAATAACTACTGTACCAGATTTCTTTATAAGGAAGCATTTCTGATAGCCACTACTGAGTTTATTGTGGCAATTATATAATAAAGGCAATAGTGGATTTACCCTTCTGGGCACTTTTGACGTTTTTATAAAGACGTGAAACCAGTTTGTTACCTTGAAGTCACACAAGAATGCGTGCTCTGTTGTAGCTAAACTTGCAGTAACATTCTAATGGGGAAAGGTTGATTTGAAAAGCCAAAGAGCAGAGTTGGCCTGAGATGGACAAGCTGTTACTTCGTCTCCCAGCATCTAGGACTTGAGGCGGCCACCGTGTCCTGCCTAGCTGGAGGCAAGTAGTGCCGTGAGAGAATTAGTTCTCTGTACCTTTACTTATCTTTACTGGGGTTGTCATGGGATCAGTCTTCTGACCTTTGAGCAAATTAGTGAAGATTAACTGAATAGTCTTTCTCTTATTAAATATCCATTCCCCCCTACCCTCGATACCTTTTCTTTTAAGGTACCTGTGTGATGATTGGTTGTAAACCATCCAGAGAAGAGCTTTAAGCACTAAGAGGTGGTATATAATAAGCACATTTTGCTTTCCTTTCCTTTTATCTGGAGCAGTGATCCTAAGCATAAGGACCACACTTTGAAAGTTATGTTTCAAAATCTGGTAGGTCTTGGTTTAGAAGTGCAGTGACAATTTACAACTCCCATCACATAAGTATCCTTATCCTGAACTTTGTATACAGTGTAAATATTCCAGGGGTGCTGGAATTCTTCTGCATCTTGCACCATTGAGAGGTGTAGAGAAGAAGGCAGCCAGATGAGTCTTTTAGCATCTTCAACTGGCTCAGTAGCTACATCTCTATTGGAGGATGACAGCTAGCGCTGGACTGTTTATAGCTAGGTTAGATGACTTTAAAGCTCTCTGCACTTAAAAATAGTTCAGAAACTGAAACACAGCCATCAGACTATTAGGGGGAGGAATTTAGCACATATTACACTCATTTTTGTGCCAATTAGATTGGCAGTCAATTTGATTCTGGGCCCAATTTGAAGTGCTAGATTGCTGGTATGAATTCAAAGACCTAAATCGCCTAGGACCAGTTTAATAGACTACGCACATCCTTATGAACCTACCTAACTGTATAAGAAGATTCGTTTTGGAAGACCTTCTCTCAGTCCTGCCAAGCAAACCTTTGATAGAAGTCCTTGGTTGTATCGTAATGCTGCTGTTTGACCTGAGGTGATGCACACATCTGTAAGCAAATCTGTAGTTTGCTCTCTCTGCCTTCCCCACACCCCCAATTCCCAGCCCAGCCAGGGTTGGGTGTGTGTTGAGCAACTCCTTTGTGTACATAGTATGTAAAGAGAATAGCACTTCCTCCTTCAGCCTCTCCCTGATCAGGTTCAAGAGGGTTTGACTAAGAGGCAAAAGCAGCAGCATATTTCTGTACTGGTAAGGACCAAAGTCAAGCATAGCAGTGGCCCTGAAATTTGCATAATTAATTGGTTATATTTTGTTTCTCATTTGTGGAGTTATATGAATAGAAGGACGTTTTGGTCATAGCTCTTTGTGTGTGCTGTGATATACAGACACGAGCAATAAAAGATGCTTTGGATTAGACTGTCCATAGACTTATTTGAATGCCTTTAGTGGTCTTACTGCTCACCAATAATTTTCATAAGATTGCACTCTAGTATCTTCTGTGTTATAGGCAGTAGTTGGTTCTCTTTCTGACCATTATTTTGTTATCACCTTCAGGATTTCATACTTGTAACTTGAATATACAGTGGTGTGTTTTGGGAGGGCTTCCTTGGCAATACATTATTATAGTTACTCAGTGTACACTAACAATGATGTACTTGTTAAAGTTAGCACCATTGATGTTACATCAGTAGTAAACGAGTTCCTGCTCACGTAGAATACTGCTCTCTTAATGACAAGCATATATGATCATGGTTTAATGTAATAATAATAAATAATGTATTATTATGTTAGAAGTCCAGTTGCCATGACTCAACTTCCAGATAACCATGCCTGGATGACTGAGAATCTTCACAACTAAATATTATGTGCCATCAAATCGATTCTGACTTATGGTGACTATTTTCAAGGTTTTCTGAAGTGACCCTTGTCAAAGTACTGTACACAGAAGTAGTTTACCATTGCCACCTTCTGGAGGCACCTGGAGGCTATGCAAACTACCCAAAGCTACACACACTGTCTGTTCTTCTGGGAGACACAGTGGGAAATTGAACTCTTAACTGCAGGCTCTGCAGTCAGATTCCTAACTCAATGAGCTAACATATCCATGGATTAATGCATTAACATATCTATGTTCATCCTTGTGCCAGAATTGGTGGTGAGGAATCATTGTGTCAAGACAGCTTTCAGATGTATATCAATAAAAATATCAAAAATACCGTTTTAAAAATACTAGTAGTATTTTGTTGCATATTAATGAATTTCCTCCCCTTATTTTCTATAGTGCTTGCTCAAACACATGGTCTTGCACCATTGGCAGGTATAGAGGGAAATATTTGTGGTCTGTGAATGTGTGTGGATTGCATGAAGAGCAGTAGTAGATTAAGACCCACAAGGTTAATGACTTCCCTATGGTTTTGATGTACTGCTTTCATTTATAACTGTGTGTTTGGAGGTGTGTGTGTGCCTGATATAAAGACTGATAGTAAATCTGCCCTACACCCAGTGAATCTTTATGAAGAAAAAATAAGATTGTATTGTTGTGTTTTATCAGGATGACAAATATTCTTTTATTATTTACGTTTCCCTTTTTCATAGTCCATTCACTGTTTGTTAACTTGTCCAGTCTTACCACTAGGTGGAACCTGCAACAAATAAATTCCTTGAAGGCTGCTGGAGTTATGTGTGCTCTGCTTGCTTTAAAATGTGGTTGGGTGCTACACTGTAGGAAGTAATTGCAGTTTAACTGGGGTGCTTTATTTCTAACTAATTTCTCTGTTAATTTCATCAGCCTCTAACTTCTCTTGTGTGGACTCAGACCGTTTCTACGATCACACAGTTTGGACCTGGCCAGAATCCGTTAATAATTTGTTTTGCCCTTTGGATGATCAGAGCCTCCAGCTCCTTCAGTCTGCTTCTGACTTTAATGTCCAGTGGAGCAAAAACTGTCACCCGCTTCACTTCACTCCCTCTGGGCGCCTGCACAGCACACTGCAAAACGCAACTGCATTCCTCACCTTTGAAAATCCTGATGCTGGTGACACAGGGAACTACACTTGCACACTCTACTTGAATGGTCAAAGAAACGCCTCCTTCACTGTCCATCTGAACATGGCAGGTAAGTGAAGGAAGCAGGGAAAGCAGCCATAAGCCTACCTCTGGAGCCTACTAGAGATGGGGACGAATATAAAAACGGATCAGTTTTTTTTTTGCCGAATATAGCCAATTCGTTAAATATTAATCGATCCATATTCGTCAAATTTTAAGTCCCGACAAATATAGCTTGATGAATATTTCCCCATTGTATTCGTCCCTTTGTAATTTAAAAAAAAATCTGGCCACCAGCCTGCTGATCAGCTGATTGACGTGCTGATAGGTAGTCACTCACCGCCATAGCCATCCATCCCCACAGCCTACCCCCGTCCTATTCTTACCTTATTCCTCACCCCACCCCACCGACACCTCCTTACCGTAATTGTTGCTGCCGCTGCCAAGGTCTCCATCAAGCCTCTGCAGCCATGGCGTGTAAAAAGGGAAATTTACTGCCCTTTGTAAAGATGGTGGCTGCGGCTTCATTTGGGGTAGGGAAGCTGCAGCTGCCATCGCAGCATTGGCGTGGTGGTGGTGGGTAGGTGCAGTCTGTGTGTTTTTAATAACCCCCCCACGAATCAACGAATAACTTTGTTATTCATCGTTTCATGGGGGCAACTTCGTGCTTTGTGAATCAACTTTTGATGACTCACAAAGCAGGATGACTCACCAAAATGGTGAGTCGTTCCCATCTCTAGAGCCTACACTTTAACCCATGGGCCTTCCATTCAGCTGATGCCAGGAGGAGCGATACTGCTAGGAACAGTTACTTGTCTATTTAATGCTGGCTTTGAGTAGGTCCTTGGTCACAGCATTTGGGAAATATCTGAGTGTGAAAGGCAGGGCTTTTGCCTTTCTCAAGTACTAATCACAGTCTCATAAAAGCTGTGCTATTAGGCAGATTTCTGAAATTTGAACCAGTGGCCCAAGTCTAATAACGTAGATCAGGAGGGTGGGCAACTTGTGTCCCTCTCTGTGTTGATGACTACAGTTCTCATCAGCCTTTGCCAGCCTAGGCAATGGTGAGAGATAATATTTTCTCTTCATACAATATTATGACTGCCATACATTTGCCTTGCAGTCAGCTGATGTGTGTTGCTGAAACTCCCTATTACAGTTGATGCCAGTTTCTGCTGCAGAAAGTGTGTTACTCATTTCACAACCCTACTCCCCTGTAACATTTAAGAAGCCAGGACGTGAGATCACTGTGTGGCAACTTGCCCTATCTTATTTTACTGTTCTGTATAGTGCTAGAAACCTACATTGTGATGTTATTGATCAGGGTTTTTTGGTGGGAAAATTTTTATCACTGGAAGGAGGAAAATGAAAAGCAGTGTGACTCATTTCTCATAATTTGAATTGATGGGTTCTAGTCTGCCCTTTGAAGTCACAGAAGAGAAGCTTGCCCTATCTTTCATTTGATGGGCCTCAGGTAGCTGCCATATTACAATACTTTGTAATGTGGATCACCATATTATCTGGCTAGCTGGGTTTTATCCTGATTCTGGTCTCATTTATCTGGATTCCACGTAGGCCCATTTCCATAATCGGGTAGCTCAAAACAGTTCTGGCTTCAAGCCCTTTCTGCCTTGCTCCTGTGACAGTATGTGTGTGCACACACGCACAAACATTTTCTCTCTCTCTCCCCCTCCCTCCCTCCAGAGCTGACCCTGAAATTTCAGGGAAAGGGATGCTGTTACCTGGCAACTCCTCAGTGTGTGTGAGAGAGACCATTTTGCAATATTCCTTTTGCTTTCATTCATTTGATCTTTGAGTACCCATAGTTTTGATGAAGATTTCTTGTCCCTTCCCATGTCTCACTGCAAGTATATACTGACTCCTTCATTTCTTGGCAAAGGCAAGACCTTCACATTAAGAAAAAATGATTGCCTGGTTCTCCTTTTTAAGAACTTAGGAAAATTAATGAGGCTTGATTTCTGGCTGAGTGAAGGAACCAAAAGGTAAAACAGAGAGGACTGTCAGAGTCATATGCCTCTATTTAATGCAGCATGGCCTAACTGCTTCAGTGCCATAAAATGCTTAGTCCGTGTGCCTTTAGATTCCAAACCCCAGGTCTTTTCCACAATGGGAAGCAAGAAGTTCTCTTTAAACCACAGAGAAGAGAGAGAGACTTCTGAAAATATGTTAACAGGGTTACTTGGCTAAATTTAACATTAATGGATAAGCTGACAGCATGAAAGATAGAGGGGGAAGAGCACTGCGCTGGACTCTGAACAGGCCTTGAGAATAATGATGGTACTTCAGAAGTTAATAATTAATGCAAGATCTCATATTAAACACTGTGGCATGTCGTTATACTGTGGGACATCCCTCCTCCTTTTTTGCCTTGGCCATTCCTTTGTGGTAGCAAATTGTATGCAGTTCATATGGCTGTACCTTTTCTACTAAAATCCTTGTTCAGTTGTGCACTGTTATTGTTGCTGTCTGAGTTGAAATTAACACTGCTCAATCAACTGGGGTGGCAGGAGAGTGGATGGCCTTTGAGTATACAAAAATAGGAACAGTTAAGTCTGTTGCTATCTCAAATACAGGGAAACAGAGGCAGGGATCATTAGTGAAACCACAGTGTCAAGGTACAGTATAGGAGTTGTGTATGAAAGCAGCATCATTGGCCTCAGGAGTGGTTTGATGATGACTTTGGATAGCTAAAACGAGATAGTCGGCAAAGGCTGGCAGATGAGTTTTCTTCCTAAAAATGTCTCATTTGCCCTCTCAACAGATCTCTGCAATGTGCTTCCCCAGTTCCTCAGCCCCTCCAGCAATCTGACTTTGGAACGAGCTTTGGGAAGCCATTTATCCCTAAACTGCACTGTGCAATTGCCCTTCAGTACAAACTGTGATCTTGACGTGCACTGGAAGAAAGATGACCAATGGTTAGGCAATGCCAGCCATGCTTCTTCTACTCAATGGTAAGAAGACTTTTGTGTGAAATGGAGATGCTAGCTAGTTTGGTTGTATCCACTTGAGACAAGAAAATTAAAAGTGGGGTTTCCAAAACCCTAAAAATCTAGAGAAAAGAATCAGCTTTCTTGGAAAGCTTGCCTATATGATTAGCCTTTTAGCTTTGTGGAGTGAAATTCAATAATGCAATAAAAAGTGTTAGCCTTTCTGCAGTGGGACAAGCTTTATGGATGGAGTGGGATGGGGTTTCATTTGACATACTTCAGAAGAAGGAGAACATGGGGGAATGGAGTATGGGGAAAAATAGAAGAAAAGGGGTAATTAGTGGCATTCAAATATGTGAGTACCTTTGATTGAGCAGGAATGAGGGTGGTAGCAAATTGCTAGTGTTTACAGCTTAGATCAGTCGTCTCCAGTCTTGGGTCCCTAGATGTTCTTGAACGAAAACTCCCAGAAATCATCACCTCTAACTGTGCTAGCCAGAATTTCTGGGACTTGTAGTCCAAGAACGTTTGGGCACCCAAGATTGGGAAGCACTGTCTTAGATCATGGTTATATGGGCATTTCCTTACTTTCCTTTTACACATCAGGGGAACACTAACAGGTGCCAGGGAAGTTTGTATGTAAAATGAAGGTGGGGAAAAAAAACCTTCCCACAACCTAATATAGTCATGACAGAGTTTTCGGATGCCAGATGGGAGAGAGCCAATTGAGGGGGAATAGCCTGAGGAAGGTGCTGGAGAGCCTTTTTCTAGCCTGTGCTTTTTCCTGGCTGATGGAGGCATTGCTAGGTAAGACAGGGCATTTCTCTCTTCTATCCCTCCCCTCCACAAGTGCACTTTGCATTCCAGTGTCCATCAGTTGGTTAATAAGCAGCAAAGGATGGAGAGGAAATGTGGAGAACAGCACAGCTTCTAGAACCCCTGTCCAGAGCTTGGGAGAGTTATTTTTGTGAACTACAAATCCCAGAGTCCCCCAGCCTATCTGCGTGCTGGGTTATGTTGGAAGATTCTGGGTTATGTTCAGATTTTACAAAGCTGAACTCGTTCTTGCTGGGTGAGAAGATGACAATGATATCTTGTTTTAGTTCAACCAACTGGGAGGCTTCTGCAGCTCTAGAAGGCTCCAGTTCTCCAGTCATTCCACTCCCACCTGGTTCATTGTCAACATCTGTGACTGATTGCTGGGGTATCTCTCCTTACTGCCAAGGAGAGGTTCCCCAATAACAGTGTGCATGTATGCACACATTTCTAAGGAATTGTGTCCATGTGTGCACAAAAAACTAAAAAGAGAGGACTTTGTCACTAGACATGCCTCTTATGACAACTATTTCGTAATCAGATTTGGAACTATTTCTTTCAAAATGTCATATTTTTCTGCTGACACCCCCCACCCAATTTCAACAATAGAATTACCTCAGAGCTATAATCCACATTTCTAGTATTACTTCAGTCTTGGTTTAAAGGAAGACGTTATGGAGTAGACCAGTGGTTCTTAACCTTTGTTACTCGGATGCTTTTGAACTGCAACTCCCAGAAACCCCAGTCAGGACAGCTGGTGGTGAAGGCTTCTGGGAGTTGCAATCCAAAACTCCTGAGTAACCCAAGGTTAAGAACCAGTGGAGTAGACTATGTCTAGATGTGCCGCACATAAATAAATAAATAAATAAATTGTCTCCCACAACATCTGGGTTTATGTTGTTGTTTTTTCCTTTTTCTGTATGTATTTGTTGATTTTGTTTGATGATGTCATTTTGCCTTTGTTTTGATATTATGTGTACACCACCCAGAATAGTACCCTGTGCTAATGACTAATGGGGCAGTATATAAATCTCAGAAATAAATAAATAAAATAAAACAACCAAGCAACCAGAATTGTTCTATTGCTGAAAAGAAAAAGGGGGAAAGAAATTGAATGGTATGGAAAGGTCTCAAATGTCTACTAATATGTGTGAAGTAATTTTGCTGTAAAAGTGAGTGATACGCAAAACAATTTCCAGAACATGCAGTCTTGTGTGAGGCTACGTATTGGGACTGGAAAGCTTGTTGCCTGCTCCTTGCTCAAATTTTGATGTTTCTTAAAAGCCACAAGAGTGAAGTCCCTTTATTTATTCTTCCAATAGTTCTTCCACTGTACTTACCTTTTGAAATATCAAAATTGGTCAAATGGGCTAACCTGAACTTTATTTATTTGTTTGTTTGTTTGTTTGTTTTGCTCCTCAGGTTCAATGACAAGGCCACTGAGATATTTGTCTCCAGCACTTTGGAGATGAATGTGACTGCTGATGAAAGCTATGGAGTTTTTGCCTGTTTGGTTGGGAATAGCACTGCAGTTTTCACACTGCAAAAACCAGGTAGTATGTGTATGAGAATGATGACACTCTGCTAAAAGGACAGTCTCTTTAATCAGTCTTCCAACAACAACAAAAATGTTTTGCCTGTTCCTAAATATGTTCTATGGATTAAGTTAAAATCCCACTAGGTTCCCTGAAATAAAAGTTAGATTTTTGCGACTGCAAAAATTATTTAATGTCTCCTTTAAAAAACCCAAAGGGGCAGTGTAGAATGAAATCAGATTGAAACATGAGACACTGCTACAGACTGTGCAATGAGCGCAATAGGCTATTACTTGGGGCTTGGAAATAGAAAAAGCAAACCCTTTGGGTTTTTTAAAGGAGACATCAAATAATTTTTGCAGTTGCAGAACAATAAACTTGCCCATCTTTCCCCTGGTCTGGAAAATCTGGATGACAAATGTCCATATCAGAAATCAAAAGCAGGTTCAGCTTTTGTTAATCTTTTAGTCTGTTAATATCAGAGTAAAACTGTTGTGGGGTAATATCAGATTTTTGTTTTAACTCGTGACATCACAATAATCAGATAATGAATATAGTGCATAGCTGATTTCCGCTGCTGTCTTCACAAAGCACTGTGCTATTGGGCCTGAATAAATAAAGTTTTGAAGAAGTGAATGTATAACAGGCCACAACAGATCAGTTTTCACATTAGTGCACTCAGGTTTTGACCTTTGTTGTGTAACATTTGAAGTGGTCTTTACATTCTGTATACACAAATAGAGAAATGAAAATGCTGGAGTTGATGAAATACAATAACAACTTCACTATTTACTCAGTTCACTTTTACTGAGTTCACTTTTGGCACTTTTGCACTGGCACAGTTGTCTGTACGGGGAGAGCAATTTTGAATTTGGACTACTTTACAAGGTAGACATGTTTTATGAGCTTCTGAGAAGTCTGCCAATAGCTGATATCTCAGCATGATTTTCCTTTTCTGAAGCCTTATGTGTTTCTGTGTAGAGATCTGACAATTTTGACTTTCTTCTGTAGAGTAACATGGCTGTAGAGACTTGAGTATTGGTTTTCATGCTGTATCTGTATGGCTTCTTTCCTTTTGAATGAGTTTACTATGTTTTTATCTTGGAATGCAAGAGACTTTGCTGAGTCTCCCCCTGCCTTTTATAATTTATACTTTGTCGATAAGTATAAGATTCTGAAACAGGGTGGGCAGCATATGTTTTGGACTGTAACTTGTATAATCCTTTACTACAGGCTGCTTTGGTTGGGCCTGATAGAAGTTACAGGCCAAAACCATCTTGAAGGTCACAGTTGCCCACCCCTGTTACTAAAATAAGTATTGCTGTCAAGTCAGGTCTGACTTATGATGACACTTCTCAGAGTGTCAGAGTTTGCTATCTATAAATTACACAGGTAATGTATAACTGTGGTGAGCACAGAAACAATAGGTTCGAATCTGAAGTAGCTAATCCCCTCAAAGAGGCAGGTTATATACTGTAGGAGAGCTTGTGCTGTGGCTGGAATAGTGTTACAAAATCCTCAATAGGTCCACTGGCTCTCTGACAAAGTTTTAAAAAGTGAGCCTTGTTAGACTTACGTTATGCTGGCTGTAAGAGTCTTCTGATATCACCTGTGATCTTCATGACAGAGAACTGCCACGTGATGGCACCAACAAAGGAAGTTTTCCAAGATTTTGTGTTAATCACAACCTCAAGCTGCTCCGTTCAAATTCACACAATTGTCTGAAACAGTATCTATTATGTAAAAACAAAATTATGACTATTATGTAAAAACAAAAGTACTCACAGGCATATATGAGGCGGTGAAATTGTCTTTGAATAATTATGCCATTGATTTATTTCTGTATTTGTAATTTGTATGTCTTGCTTGTAAATACACATATATTTGAAGGAAAAGGGGACAACCAAAATTAAGATGAATTGACTCAGTACTGTAAAGGAAGACACATCCTTGAGTTTGCAAGAACTAAGCAGGGCAGTAGGGGACAGGACATTTTGGAGACTTTTGCACAAGGCAACAAAACAATATTTTGTAAATAGAGTCTGAGAAGTATAATGTCTTAGTATTTTAGTTTCTGCTAATCTTCTCATCAGCATAGTCGCTTATTTTGCTAGGCATTTTAATCACTTGACAGATGGTCTTTGTTCACGACTAGAATGAGATACCCTTTTGTTATTACACAAAACCTTGCTAGCTTGCAAAGGTGAGCTCATTTCACTACAAAACCTCCCAGCTTTGAAAAGCTTCTTAATTCCAGTCACTGACTGAAAATAAGGACAGAAGAAGCTCCTTGAGCAAAAGGTGGAACATTGGTAAAGACCCAATTAATCCCATTGCCTGAAGCTTTCCTCCTGATTTATACTTCTGAGTGACATCCCCTTCCATGTTTAGCACCCAAAAGTTGTAAAATGTACATGTGTAGCTCCTTATATTATCAGACCGTTGATATCTAAGCATTTGCTGGATCTTTGACTGTGTGCATGCTTTTGTTGTTGTACACAGGGCAGGATTTAGGTCATAGAACTCATCTATTTTTCTCTACTTCTGCACTACGTACATGACTGTTGGTCCTAAATATTGTTTAAAATGCCAATTCCCTTTACAGCAGAGTCTGCTGGGCACCTGGGCGCTGTCCTTGCTGCATTTGCCGTTGTGACACTAATGCTGTTCATGGGAGCCATGTATGTCAGATGCCGTCTGAGTGTGCTGCTCTGGTACCGGAACCGTTATGGAGAACTGGAAATCAATGGTAAATGTTGAGTCTGAGAGTTGTTGGTTGCTCTTCCTTTCATTTTGACATAGCCAGATCACACCTCAAGGAGAATGTATACTTCTTCCTCTTAAAATTATGCTTCTCCAGGCCCCCCAGCCATGCTGACAAGGTCTAAGTGCATGTTTGTCTCCTTGTGACAAATTACAAAACAGAAGCTGTCTGATTTCCCAAATACAGATTGTGAGCATGTAGAATTTTCCTCTTGAAATAGAACTGCTTCTGTTGACATGTTAATGCTTAACCTTTCAGAGAAGTTAATATTTGGGGATTTATTGAGACTGGGCAGCACTCTAGGCAAGCTGGTCTTTTATAAATTCTCTCACAGGGGAAATGATCAGAGACTAGAATTGAAGCAATATTCTTCCTTCCTTTGAGGCTTCTATAATTTTTCTTTTCATTTTTAAAGGGAAAAAAGTTGTTGAATGTTTTTAATATATATAATATGTCGAATCTGCCTCGAAAGTTATTCCAAGCTAAATTGTCAAACTGAAAGTGTGGATAGTATAAAAGAGATAGGTCTTCAGTATTAAGGCTGCTACCGCTGATTTTTTTTAAAAAAACTGCTATTTAACATGTGGCATAATATTGTATACTATATTTCTCTTTTTGGTACTTTTTCACAGATGGAAAGCTCTATGATGCCTACGTGTCTTATGCTAACTCGACAGATGACAGGAAATTTGTGAATTTCATAGTGAAACCACAGTTAGAGAATCGCCATGGCTACAAGCTCTTCTTAGATGATAAAGATATTCTGCCAAACTCAGGTAAGGAACCTGAGTAGACTCTGTCTAGAGGGGCGGGGTAGAAATAAAATAAAATGAAATGAAATGAAATGAAATGAAATATAAATAAATAAATAAATAAATAAATAAATAAATAAATAAATAAATAAATAAATAAATAAATAAATAAATAAATAAANNNNTTGAATATTTGCGTGCATACTTAGATTTGCTGTTGAATTCAGAATGCAGATTGATAATCAGAAATTAATTATTGGAGTGAAAAGAAAATATAGTTTTGATTTGTCCATCAAATATTCTGTTCACAATATAGTAACGATTGGACATCATTTGAGAGAAATTTTAGTTAATTTGGCAGCTCTTTTATTCAAAACAAATAGTGTCCACTGAACAATGGTAAACACCTAAAGAATGAGTTAGTGATATTCCTGTTACTTGTGGAACTGAGCACGTTTTGGACGACCAAGCTGATTTGGTTTAAGGAGGAGCGGAAAACCTATAAGGGAAAGTGAGGTGTGGGTGGGCATCTTCAGGAGAGAGGTTCACTTCTTCCTCCCTTTTTCCCCAGAGCCCTCTGCAGATTTAATCATGAATGTCAGTCGATGCCGACGCCTCATTGTGGTTCTCTCTAATGCCTACCTGGAGCAGGAATGGTGCAACAATAATTTCAGGTACCTGAAGGGCCAGAAAGAGCTTACACTCTCTGGTCCACTAAACCAGTGTTTTTCAGTGTTGAGTTACCCAGGTTACTCAATGTAACCTAGACTGCATTTCCCAGAAGCCTTTACCACCCGGTTTGCTGGCCGGGGCGTCTGGGAATTGCAGTCCAAGAACACCTGGGTTACGCATGGTTGGGAAGCACTATTCTAAACCATGGTTTTGAGTAGAGTACTCACAAAATTATTCATTCTTGACGAGAGAACAAGGACACACATCAAGGGAGCGGCAGCAGGCACAGTGTAACTCAGGCAGCATGGGAGAACAGGTTGAGTAACAAGACAACAGTGTATATAGGTTGGTCTCACAAATGAAAGAACTCTCATCAAGAAGGGCAACAAGTATCTCACGGTCTGGCAGAAAAAGAGAAAAATGCCATTTTCTCGTTCTAGTACAAGGAAATGAAACAAGCAAGGATTTACATCCCTCGTTTAAAGATGAAGGATGAAAAATGTGTGCACTTGCCTCTTCCTGCCATTGCCTGCTTGGTTTAATACAGTTATATTTGGTTTGTCATGCCACAGTTTGCTGTGCCTTGATCACTCCTTCCAAAGTAGAACTCTTAACCTTGGTTTTATCGTGGTTTGAGGGAATTCCTACCTATTACTCATTTGTCATTGGACAAATGAGTAAATATTCTGTTAAGCTGACTTGGTGTGCATTGGTTGTTCCCAGTCCTCCAAACTGTGGATGTAGAATCAGAAACTGTAACATCTGAATTAAGCCAATTGCAGTTGTTTTGAAACAAAATTACTATAGCTCTTATCTCTTTTATATACTTAGAGGTATGTGTCTCCTAGGAGTGGGGTCAGAGCAAGGAAGTCAGTTCCCCTCTCCCAGAATGCTAGAAGCATGTACAATGGTGCCTCACTTAACGAGCGTCCCGTTTAACGATGAATCCGCATAGCAATGGAGTTTTTGCGATCGTTTTTATGATCGTATTGCAATGTTTTAATAAGGTAAACATCGCGTTGCGATGATCGTGGGGAAGCGCTTCCCCACGATCATCCCAAAGGCCCCGTGATCAGCTGTGTTGTGAGGGGTGGAGAGAGAGCCAGCCCGAAGCACAACTGATGGGCGGGAGTTTGCGAAGATCGCGGGGAAGCCAACTTCGCAAAACCCGCCAACTTCGGTGCTCTCTCTCTCCCCCGAAGATCGCAGGGAAGCCAGCTTCGCAAAACCCACCAACTTCGGCGCGCGCTCTTCGGCGCGGTGCCTCGGTCTCCCTGCCCAGGCTGGACCTGCAAGGGGTGGAGAGAGAGAGAGCACCGAAGCACAGCTGATCGGCAGTTCCAAAATGGCCGCCCGCTGTGATGCCTCGCTTTAGAGGCACCAAAAATGACAGCCAGATGGAGGATTTTCGCTAAAAGGTGAGTTTTTTCCCCATAGGAATGCATTAAACGTGTTTTAATGTGTTCCTATGGGGTTTTTAGTCCTGCATAGCGACGAATCCGTATAGCGATGATTTTTTCGGAACGGATTATCGTCGCTGTGCTGGGCACCACTGCATTAGTTTAATGTGCACAGACATATTGGCCAAAACCCTGTTGCTTGGTGTTGTAAATCACACTACAGTAGGTCTTTGTGAATTAACTTCTGTGTAAGATCCATTGATTCAAATGGGCTGCTCTAGTTCTGATTTGCTATGTTAATACAAGTTGCAGTTAGAGTAGGCCCATTTGAATCAATGGAACTGACCAAATCCCCATTGATTTGGTGGGCCTATTGTTGTGTGATCCTTACTGTAACAACAGGATTTTGGCCATTGTGTTGTAGTGGCTTGTACTCTGCATGCAAATACAGTAATACTAATGTCACTGTGTAGCTTCTCCATCCACCCTCAAGATTCCTATGGGCTCACTTGTTTGGATGTAAAGTTCAGGAGCATAGAGTGGTATTCCTCAGATGAACCTCTGCAGTTTAGTTCATCTGTTTGCCACTAAAATGCCACTAAAACCAGTGGAGGATGATTTTCAGTTTTTAGATGCATGACCTCTTCTCCAGTGAAGTTGGGCCCTCGGGAATTGCACTGCAACCCAGGGGATTGAGGTTTTTTTTCTTTATGATTCTCTAAACCAGTTCTTTGTTTTCACAGAGAAGGTCTTTGGAGGCTGATGGAACTGTCCCAGAGACCAATCTTCATTGTCTTCGAGAGCCAGTACCGGGAAATAACACATCCAGCCCTACATTTGCTGAAAGAACATAAGAGTGCTATCACTTTGCTGACCTGGCGTGCTGGCTCCATGGTAAATGGTGGACTGAAAGGTTACCTAACCTCTTATTTAGATAACATTCTGCTACTCCTTGAGACCCAGAGAACTGATTTCTCCGGCAGGAATGCAGGTTGTAGATCTATCCCAGTCTATATGTTCTTCTGCCTCTTCCTGTTGGTTACCATTTCCGTTTCTCTTCTGTTGACCAAGGAAGCGGGTCCAGACATTTGCTAATGTAATATGCAGTTGTGACCTTTATATGAACCCACACAGCTTCATGGGCTCTGTGACAACCCTGAAACCCAATGGCATAAAAAGCATGCTGCTTATATACTGCCCCACAGCCCTTCAAGCACTCTCTGGGCGGTTTACAAGTTAATTTATGCAGGCTACACACTGCCCTCCCCCCAACGAGCTGGGTACTCAGTTTACCAACCTCGGAAGGATAGAAGGCTGAGTCAACTTTGAGCCGGCTACCCGGGATTGAACCCCAGGTCGTGAGCACAGTTTTGGCTGCAGTACAGCGGTTTAACCAGTGCGCCACGAGTCTAATGAGGATAGGCCTGAGGCATTGCTGGAGACATAGATGAGAAGTCGGAGGTCTTCTCTGATGCCTTGGCATTAAAGGAATAACGTGAAGGCCACAGGGGGGCACCAGAACCTGAAAGATGAGTTACTGATTCTGTACACTTCACCAAAGGGCTTTTAAAAATGCAAATGCCGTACAACCATGGGTGTGTGTTACAGACTAGAGAAGGTGGAAATGAATACAACCCTTCTCAGAGTGGGCATTTACAGAGAAACATTCTAGCAATGTGGAGACTTTCTCATATATATGTATCCGTTTCTTTTTTTATATCCGTGGTAAATGGACAGCAGCATGCTCTTCACTCCCAGTTGCACAACAGTGTCTTGCAGACGACTTGAGCCATTGATCTAGAAGTGGTGTGCAAGCCCTTGTTAGGATGTACAAGCATTTTCTAGAGAAACCTGTGGTTTCCTTGCTGCCCTGCACACAGACAGTTCGAAACCATCAGTATTTACTAGGAAAGAAACAGAACAGCTCAGCCCTTCTTGTCATCTAGCTCAGTAAGTTTTGTTACATGGTGTCATGTCAGAACAGGCTTAAAGCCACTCTCATTGGGCTCTCAAGGTAAGTGAGATATATCAAGTGTGCTTGTGCCAGTTCCACTGCCCCAGCGAGGCTCCTGCCTAGAATTTTCTAATTTGAACTGACACAAAATGTGCGATGAGATACGTTACAATTTGAGAGATTCAGGCCTGTTACTCCTCTTTAAAGCTCAGAATGTACCTTCCAGCATGACAGGATTTCAGTTTTACTGGGAGTTGCAAGTAGTACTGTCTTTGCAAAATATTGCTGCAAGTGAAACAAACGTTACATGGTTCTCTTTTTGCTTCACATAAGAGAGACCACCTTCTTAGTGTCCGTCTAATTGTTGTATGTATTGCCTTTCTCTAAAACCATTTTGGATATCTCTGCTACAGCTGTGGAAGCTCATTACTTTCTTTTGTCTTGCTGATTTTATCTGCTGAGACCACATTTTTAAAAAATGGCTGATAATTTTCAAAAGGCCAACTGACTTGTTCAGGAGCAACAAGGGAGGTGGTAGAAATAATCAGTTTTGGAAAGAGAGCAGTTTTTGCTTCTGAAAGATATGGAAGCCGTCCAAAAATTAAAGAGGGCAACATGAATAGAGAGAGAAAATTGAACCACCCAAATGTTGGTAGAGATTGAGGCTGCTCAAACATTAGGGGTGGGGTCTCAAAAACTGTAGGTGACATTGCACTGTGTGGAATTATTTGTGGATTTACAAAATTGCAAGAATCCCAGTTGTTTTTTTTTTTAACGAGCTCATTTGGAGATTTGAGCTGTGTGGAGCCCTTGTAGAAGTTTTTCAAAGCAGTTGGGCAGTTTTTCAAAGCAGTCAAAGCAGTTGCAGAAAATGGGACACTGCCCCATTTCTTGGTTGTTCACTTTTACCCATTGTGCTCTTACACCAACAATGTCTTTAATGCAGAGGCGGACATAAAAAGCCTCCAAAATTGCTGGAGAGGTGTCTGCTGTTTCTGTTTCTACTTAGTGAAGATGGCAAAAGGATATTTTTGGACAACTGTTTCCAAAACTGAAGGTCACCATGGCTCTAGATTTATAGTTCAAACAAGGAACTTTCCCCCCCCTCTCATGTTTTTACTGTGTGTGGGAACTATGTGTGGAACATGGTGGCTCTGCTGGTTAAACTGCTGAAGTTGTCTATGACATATGCTGGCTCTACAGCTTGGAGACGAGGATGAGCACCACCCCCTAGAGTCAGACACGACTGGACTAAATGTCAAAGGGAACCTTTACCTTTACCTAGGTGTGAACTAAACTAGAGCACCCCAACCCACACTTTTTTGAGCCTTCTATTTTTTTTTATTTTTTGGGTGCTGGTTGATGTACTCTAGTTTCATTCATTTCCAGTGCATGCAATCACTGGGAATGGACTAAAATCGAGCTTTGTAGCTGTCAGAGCTGCTGAGTCTCCTTCGGTCTGAATTTCTAGTATCATGAAGTGGGTCAATAAATGAGCCACTTCAGGATATTGGCAAATTGGACACTTCTCTGTAGAGGCAGGGGAAGTGACCTCTTTTTTTGTATCTGCTAGACCATTGGCCCCCAACCTTGGCCCTCCAGATGTTCTTGGACTTAAATTCCCAGAAATCCTGGCCAGCAGAGGTGGTGCTGAAGGCTTCTGGGAATTGTATAACAAGAACATCTGGGGGCCCAAGGTTGAGGACCACTGTGCTAGACCGTTGCTTATGTGTTGAATCTCTTAGATTATTATTTTTAATTGCCTTTGTGTGAAGTGTTAATGGGAATTGTGACTGCAGTTTTCTGATTGGCACAACACACAAGGCAAAGAATGAATAATCTAGGTGTTTCGGTGCATCAGCATTAGTTTAGGCACAGGCAAAAACAATGAATTCATTTTCCCTGCCCCCTGCTGTCATTTGACAGTAGAAGGAGCAGGAAGGTTGCCTGAGGTCGATATGCCGTTGGATGTGAGGATTGCACCAAGTGGCAAATCATTCCTCTCCATGACCTGAAGCAGCCCTCTAAAATGGCCATGTAGACGTGCCCTATGTGTGGTATCTCCTTTGTACAGACTTTTTGTAACACCTTGCTGCCACTGAAATGATTGTATCTTCTAGTTGTGTTCATTGTAGGTGAATGGTGATGCTCATAGCATTGTTTAGTACTTACTAATATGTTCATTTCTAAACAAAATCCAAATTATCTACATAAAGTCTTTCCCCCCTTCCAGGGAGAAGCGTGCCCCCTACCATACTGACTGCCTCTAGAGGGGCACACTGTCAGAGCTGCTGTCTAGGCTTCAACAACCTGCAGAGGAACTTTGACCTAAGCTTGTTGCTAGCAATAAATTTCAGTACATGGTTGAGGAGGCTTAATGATTTAATTTACTGTGTAAAGAATCGTTATAGAAGTTGGCTAGAAAAGTCAAAATAACCTCCCTTGAGGAATTAGTTAATAGTTTTCCCTGAAAGCGAACATGTAAGGAGTTAATATAGATAAAATATAATCTTCCAAAAAGCTATCTAAAGACACAATTTGTGCAGTACCTGAAAAATGCCATCATGTGTAAACATGCTGCTTTCTCTTAGCAACTGGTGGATAAAGCTACCGTGTGTGCTGGTTATTCATTTACTCACATCTGAGACATAAGAAGGACAACATGTTAAGTTTTAGAAAGACTATTGTTTGTACATATTTCATTTGTATTCCACCTTGCTCCTGGATTGATGTACCAGCCTCAGCTCTGTGCTCATGATCTTTGAATACTTGTGTTTCTTAGAAATTAAAAATCTGATTCAATATTCCTCCAAAATAAGTCAGTAGAAGAAGGCTCTTCACCAACAGAGGCCTTAAATTATCTAGTGAAGGATTTCTACTGTTGCTTAATAGTTCAGTTTAATATATATAGCTATCTCTATTCCATTGGGAAAGCATTTGAACACAGTGATCCGTTCTGCAAGAATACAGACCTGTAGATTATAGGCCAATCTATCTGGTGGACATATTAGGAAATTGTATGAGATTCCCTCCTGTTTTAAGTAAGAAGAGTGGACCACACTGCATGGGAGTATTATTGGGAAGCACTTCAATGCTGACTGTTCAGTAGCATTTAGCTTATGTTCAACAAAATCCTGTTGTCTAGCCAGGTAGGGCATCAGAAACATTTGACTGACATTAATTAAAAGTTTCCTACCTTCCAATTTTAGCTTCCAGTTGAAGCTACCAACATGAATTTGACCAAACTCCGGGAGGCAGTGGAAGACACGAGGACCTGGCATGCTCTGGTCCATGGGGTCACAAAGAATTGGACACGATTTAATGACTAAACCAAAAAATACCTTCCAATTTTAGGTTCTGAGGCTCCCTAGGGCTCTCTTTTGTCTTGGAGGAGCTTTTGCAAGCCTCGTGATGGAGAGGAGCCTTTAAAAAGAAAAAGACAGTGTATCACTATCAGTGGGATCAGGACCACCACTGCTGATCCAGTAATGATTTTTTATTTTTAAAAACTCCTTGCCCACCACATGTCAAATGCCTTTCTTTTGGGAGAAGACTGAGCTGAAGTAAGAATTGAGCTCTTTTGCCTTTGTCCTCTTCTGCCATTTTTCCATGCCCATTGAGTAGCTGAGCCACTGTTTCTTTTCTCTGTCTTTTGCAACACATGTGCCTGGAAAATGCTTTTTTGTTGCTTTTCATGTATCTTGATCACCTCAGTTCCTTCTCAGCTTTTGCCTTCCTAACGCCATCCCTGCAGTGCTTTGCTGCTTCTCTGTACCCTTTCTTTGTAGTCTGGCCTTCTCTCACTTCCTGTGTTATTTTTATTTTCAGGGCCTCTCTTGAGTTTTTTGTAAAGCCATATTGATATTTTTTTTGTTATAGGGAAAAGCAAAATGGAAAAAAAAAAGAGAAAAAGGCAAAAATGTGATAGCACCTTAAAGGC